AAGCACGTGAGCTGCTTGCTTGAACCTAGATGTTGCTCATTTAATATTCCCTCTCAACATCAACTTCTACCATACCCATCATGTTGTTAAATTCAATAAGCTTTTCACTTGCTAGACTCTTGGTTAGGATATCTGCAACCTTCTTAGTAGTCTTCACATATTGCAAGTCTATTTTTCCCATTAAGACCTTCTCTCTAATGAAGTGGTAGTGAACTTCAATATGCTTGGTGTGAGCATGAAAGGTAGGATTCTCAGCTAATTTGATGGAGGACATATTGTCACACAAAAGTGGAATGTTGTAATCAACTTCCTGGTTTAGATTCTTCAACAGTTGAACAAGCCAGGTACACTCTTGAGCTGCCATAGCAGCAACTCTATATTCCGCTTCAGTTGTGGAAAAAGACACAGTGGGTTGACGCTTGCTACTCCATGATATGATGCTAGACCCAAGCATGAATACATAGCCAGTTGTTGACCTTCTTGTATTCAAGTGACCGGTATAATCAGCATCACAAAAGCCCATCAATTTTCAATCAGGTTCCCTCTTGAACTGAACACCATAGTTCAGGGTAGCTTTGATGTATCCTAATACTCTGTGTGGAGCTCCATGATGAGGCTTTCTCGGATTCTGCATAAATCGTCTTAAAACACCAACTGTAAATGATATATCTGGTCGCGTCAAGGTGAGATAAATCAGCATTCCCACCATCTTTCTGTATAGTGTTGCATCTTCTATCTTACTTCCTGAATGTGCACACAGTTTAGCATTAGTATCCATGGGTGTCACTGCTGCTTTACATTCCAACATTCTAAACCTCTTCAACAAATCAGTACAGTACTTTCGTTGATGCAAAACTATGCCTTCATCATCGTAACTTAGTTCGAGTCCTAGGAAGTGACTTAGTCTTCCCAGGTCCTTCCTATGGAAATTAGTGCTCAGATTCTCTTTGAGTTGACTGATCATATCTTCCAAATCACCTGTAATTATTAAGTCATCTAAATGAATAAGAACCAATGCAACTTTGATTCCAACCTTCTTCACAAATAAGCTAGCATCTGCTGGAGTACTTATATACCTGTTATGTTCAAGGAATTCAGCCATTCTTCCAAACCATGCCCTTGGAGACTGTTTTAGCCCATACAAGGCTTTCTTAAGTTTACACACATAACTTGGATGACTTTTACTCTCAAAACCATGAGGTTGATCCATATGAATCACATGGTCTAAGTCTCCATACAGAAAAGCGTTGCTCACGTCCATTTGCCATAGATCCCATCTTTTACTTGCCGCCAAAGCTTGCAAAACTCTAATTGTAGTTATCTTAGCCACTGGGCTAAATGTGTCCTCATAATCCAGCCCGTATTGTTGTGAAAAACCACGGGCTACCAAACGTGCCTTTTACCTTCTTATTGACCCATCTGCTTTATTTTTTATCTTAAATACCCACTTGCATGAAACTGGCTTCACATCATCTAGCTTTGGAACTAAATCCCACGTTTGGTTCCTAATTAGGGCATCAAATTCTTCCTTCATTGCCAAAACCCACTCTTGTTTGGTTACAGCTTGATCATACGTGTCTGGTTCTGTTTCTACTTCTTCAACTATTGCAGCATTGGCATAACGAGGATTTGGTTTCCTGATTCTTGATGATCTTCTAGGATTTGGAGTTTCGTTGTTGTTATCATCATTAACTACTCCATTAGACTGTTCTAGAGATTGACCTTGAGTATGAACCTCATCATTATCAATCACTATATCACTCCCTACCACATCTAGTCTCACATTTGATTCCATCTCTTCATTAAGAAGTTTAGAATCAGGAAGAACCTCATGTTTTTCTGACCACCAATAGGAATTCTCATCAAAAACCACATTCCTTGAAACATAACACCTTCCAGAGTTAGGATCACAACACCTCCATCCTTTTCTCTCTTGATCATACCCCACAAATAAGCATCAAACAACTTTCTTTTCCATTTTACTTCGCAAGTGGTTAGGTATGAACACATAACATACACAACCAAATACACGTAGGTGACTCACATTGGGCTTGATCTCCAAGAGCTTTTCAAACGGTGACACATAATCAAGATTTTGTTGCGGAATCCGATTAGTCACATAGGCAGTTGTTTTCATTGCTTCTGCCCAGTATTGCCCTGGAACATTTTTATCATGCATTATACTTTTACAGATCTCACCCAAGTGTCTATTCTTTCTCTCAGATACCCCATTTTGTTGTGGGGTATTTGGACAAGTCAGCTGCCGTTTGATCTTATTTGTTTTTAAGTACTCACTGAATTCTGTTGCGAGATACTCCCCTCTATTATCAGACCGGATGCAGCTGATTTTGTGTTTTGTTTCTTTTTCAGCTTCCGCTTTAAATTCCTTGAACTTGGCAAATGTTTCATACTTTTAAGGCATGAAATACACCCAAACATACCTTGAGAAATCATCTATGAAGGTTACCATGTGCTTCATACCTTTGATAGAAGGTTTCTTTACTGGTCCAAACACATCGGAGTGTACAAGTTCTAATGGTGCTCGAGACTTGTACTCTGATCTGCCAAATGGTTGCTGATGAGCTTTACCAAATTAACATCCAACACATACAACATCTTTTCTGACTTCGAGTTTTGGAAGGCCCTTAACCATTTATTTCTTCATCGTGAGTTCAAGCTTATCATAACTCACATGGCTCAGCCTCATATGCCACAAGTCTGCATTTTGGTTTCTTTTTGTTTTCTCTACATAAGTTGTTTCTACTGACATTACTTAGAATCTGATCTTCTACCTTTCAAAATGGGTTTTGAGGGGGTCTCAAATTCTTTAAAAATCTTCACATCATCCGGTCCAAATAACACATAATGGCCAGTGGAAGCTAACTGTGAGACTGAAAGAAGGTTCTTCTTCATACCTGGTACATGGTACACATTCTCGAGTGTTAGATCTTTGTTGTTATCTTCCAGACATAACACTACTTCTCCAACATGTGCAATTGGAAGCTTGGAATTATCAGCAATTACAACCACTTTGCTACCACCATAACTTACTGAACCTTTTATCTTCTCATGTTCCCCTGTCATATGATTAGAGCAACCCGAATCGACAATCCATTCATCAAAACGGTTTCGATTGTTCTCGGTGATTGTTGTAAGTGCTAGTGCATCATCAACATCTTCAACTTGTGCATACATCGCTTCTGCATCCCACACCTCTTCCTCCTGTGATGTTGCAGCATTCCCTTCTTCCACTTTCTCAAATCTACAGTTACGTGCCATGTGGCCTTTTTGACCACAGTTGTGACACTTGTAAGGAAATCGTTTATTGTGATGGCGGTTCTTTGATCTTTCTTCAGATGACTCGCCTTTCTCATCCTTGTAAGCCTTCTTTTCTTTTTCTTGATTCTTATTTTTGTCTGTATCTTTTCTGTTCCGGTGATTTCCTGAAGATCTTTGTTTTCCTTTACCTTTCTCTGCATACAAAGCTTCTCCATCATCCTTGATAGGTACCCCTCCCATCTGTTTCGTTAAAGCCTTCTGTCTAGCCAATAGAATTTTGAATTCAACAAAGGAAGGTTGAGTTGCCCAACCTTGAATCGCTATTACAAAACTTCTGAATTCAGGTTTTAGCCCATGTATGATTATTCTTTTCATCCTTGCTTCACCGATTTTAGATTCTGGATCAAGTTCCACAATTTCTCTGCATGTAGCTTTAACCTTGTGAAAGTATTGTGGGATTGTCATATCTTTCTGGGAAATAGATAAGAGTTCATTCTCAAGAAGTTTCAACTTCGTATCATTCTTCTTTGAGAACAAAGTTGATAAGATATCCCATGCTTCCTTTGGGTTTGACACATCTCTGATGTGCTCAAGTACATCTTCTTCAACGGTTGTTTTTAAAACAAACATAGCTTTGCCAGCCTTGATCTTCCACTTACGTAAGATCCCATTATTGTCTTCCGCCTCAGGTTGCTTAGTTTCAGTCCCATTCACGACTTCCCACAGGTCTTGCCCTTGCATGTATGACGTGATGCAAGTAGACCATGTGTTATAGTTCTGATTGTTAAGCTTCTTAACACCACCAACGACCTGAAGTTCAGCCATTGATACGCGGTCTCTGATACCACTTTGTTGACCTGATAAAGACAATCTTCCTAGCTAGTACACAACTAGGGAACACAACAAGGCAATGAAGAAGGAAACACACAGTTACACACACTTGTGTATCTAATTAACTTAAAAGAAACTGATTACAAAGGAAGCCATAAAAAGGCATAACTGAAAGAAAATATAACTGCTACTACACTACCACTAACTAGAAAACAGGAAACTACAACTTGATAACTGCCCACTATCTAGAGGAGAAAATACTAGACAAATTAAAATAAACAAAAACTAAAGTAAGGATAGTGGCAAGCACGTGAGCTGCTTGCTTGAATCTAGATGTTGCTCATTTAATACGATTGTGAAATTGTATCAAGCTATAAGACCTCGTCGGGTACAATTGTAAGAACTTTAAATCTTTTTTTAATTACTTATATAACTCAACCCGATCCAAACCCGTTATATATATATATATATATATATATATATATATATATATATATATATATATATATATATATATATGATTTTTTTTGTCTATTTAATTTAAATAGTGAACTATGTGGTTTTAGGTTCTAGACTCGCTACTGATGTTGATTTTGAGTATCCGTGCAATTTACTATAATCAATATAATAAAATGCATTATGCTTATAAAAGTACAAATATATACATGCATCCCAGTTTAAATGGAAAACTCGATTTTTAGAACTAGTAGGCATCATTTGTAAACCTTAAAACTTATTAGCTTTAAATCTGTCATAATTCGTATTAGAAGACATCATTATCGTGTGTAAGCCTTCCAACTTATTAGCTTAAATCAGTAGCAATACGTATACAATTGGCATCTTTATCTTGTTTCTTTAAATCATCGTTCTGTTTTAGCTTCTGAATATCACTAAATCCTCGATAGAAACAATGTTGTCAAAATTGCAACAAGAATTGTAGGAATTTTTGCCAGTGAATACGCAGCCTCGTTTTTCCCTATCACAAAAATGTCACATTATTATGTAGCAAAATGAAATATTGGAAGTACATCAAAAGTATATTTCCAACCCATTGTTTATATATACGTGGACTATATTTTATTTCTACAATATCAAATTAGTCAAATAAATTTTTTAGCTTAAAATAAAACCTACGAACATTTTAAAAATCAACCAATAATATAATTTGATAATATTTTCTTATAATTACTAAAAAAAAATGCTTTTAAAACTACTTACCACCAGGTCCAGGTGAGGCGACACTGCTAGGGGGCGACGGCGGTGGGCCGAGACCGAGGCGGTTACAGTCTCCATCCAAATAGCCTGCGAAAACGAGAGCAAATTTCAGATTTCAGAGTTTGAATCCTCAAAAATAGAAACAGGGGGAAAATTAAACGACGATTCGGAATTATTCGGTTACATTGTTTCATGCAAACGAATTCCGGATTGTTGAACAAATTAGCAGCACGATCGTGACATTGACAATAGTGTCCGGTTCCGGTTGAGTTCACCACACAGTCGCCATCGCCACACCAAACTAAGTTACAAGCTGCAATCAAATCATTAATTAATTAATTAAAGTCATCGGAAAATAGAAAGAGGAAGGATGAGAATCAATTGATCGATGCTTACGGCTGGTGAAGTTAATCGGTGGTGGAAATGGCGGCGTCGGAGGTTGTGTACCACCGCATGAGAAGTCCAGAGAACCTGCATGTCAAATCAAACTTATGAACTATCAGATTAGCGATAATTAATCATATATGAAACAAGAGATCATCGATTATTAGGTGATTTCAGTGATTAATTTATTTATTTGTAAATGAGGGAGACTAACAGTTAGGGATGATGCAGGCGCCAAAGGACATAGGTCCAACTTGGATGGTCTTCCAGCCAGGATTACAGTCGCAATGAAATAGTAGCCCTAATAGATCAGGTACACACGTCCCTTCTCCACAGGTTGCGTTTGTACACGCATCTGTTTTTTATCAAACACACCACAACTCACATTATTATCTTACCTTATATAAAAATTGCTGTGTATATATTAATTAGGAGCATGATGAGGTGGCATTGAAAACGTAATATAAATTAGTTTAAGAGTAAAACATTTATAGTGGTGGTGATACCTTGAAGAGAGTAGGAAAAGAAGGCGGAGAGGCATAAAAGAAGTAAGAAACACGAGTTTGAGTTTGAGGTCATCGGAATATAACTAACAATCAAACTTGTGTAACTACTTCTCAGACTGAATCAACAAGTCATTGACATTAATTAAGATTTAAGACGGGTTGTTGATGAGTTTTATACCCAAAGACAATGACAACATCATCGTAAGGTTCACCAAGAATGGACTTGGGCGGGGCTAGCCATGATTTTAAACTTTTCTGTTTTTTTAATGTCGATTCAGACATTCTAATAATCACAGTTTAGGCTGTTTAAGATGCCAAACCAAACACAAATTAACAAATTCACAAAGAAAGAAAACAAGAAAAAATTCCATGTTTATGTTTCCCACCATTACAGATGGAATTTTACTGCATCACATATGTGTATGTTATGCAACAATAGGAAGCATTTTCAGATGTTGCTATGAACCAGTGATTTTTATTTATTTATTTATTTATTTATTTATTTTTTTGTCATTGGGTTGATTTGAAAATGCTTTTGCAGAGTTTTACGTTTTCTGATTGTCAAGATCGGTTTGATGGTCTTTAGATCCCTCTGATGAGTTAATGTTTCAACCGGGAAGGAAACAATTAAGAAAATGATAAACCATACCATCTGAATGGCCTATGCTTCAAGAATCACGTGAATTTAGCATGTTAGAAGTGGGGTACATTTTCATTTTCATTTTTATTTCTATTTTTCACGTATTATTATCATCTTTATTGAAAAAAAATCACAAAAAAAAAGCAACAAAGATACGTATTATCATATATTACTATTTTTTGTTTTATTTAGCAATTTATGAAAATAACCTCAAATATTATTGTGCTTTATTATTATTATTATTATTATTATTATTATATAATGCACCCCGGTAAAATGATTATCTGGATATTTGGGGCATGTCAAGGTTTAAACCTTGAACCTTCTTTGTAAATTATAACATCTCAACCACTAGATTTTTATTATCACATCTCAACGACTAGACTCTTATTATCACATCTCGACCACTAGGCTCTCATCACGAGGAATAGATGGAACAATTATGTTCCCATCAAGTTGAATATATTGATTTCGAGATTTTCTCTAAACCAAATTCCACACGTGTTAAACTTGCTAAGGGATCGACTTAGATTATATAATTTGCCCGCTTTGTGATCATTCTTCCAAAATTATGATTCATCTTTTCATTTTGAGTATGTCGCTCATTAATATTTAACATCTCACTGCTATAAGAGTATAAGAATATAAGGTATGAGCATGTTGCACCTCGTTATTGGAGAGATGGAGCATCCTCAACGTCGTTAAGAAGCATCAACTCGTAGTTGTGTTGCTTCTTGTTGTGGCCATGACTAGATGCAACATGATTTTCTATTGGTTGAACAAGTTCTCTCTCTTTATCTCACCTCTTAACATGGTGTTATAACACCATGAACATCATTCCCTCTTCTTGTTGCTTCTTGTTACAACACCACTTCAAGTTGCTCATACCATATACTCTAAGAAAGTTTGAAAATGTCTTGATGCGGTCATTATTACTACTTTTTTGGATCGTTGGAAACATTGCAATAGCGTGATATTTGGAACGGTGAGTTCATATTGTCTAAATTTCTTACTTTGGATTAGTAATAGAAAAAAAAAATTGATTGAATTGGATCGTTTTTTGCTTCTTTGACTTTGTAAAGTTTTTACTTGCACCTTGCTAGTTTTTAATATAATTTTATGTTCCAATAAAACTAGCAATCACCAAGATCCAGTGAGTTAAAAAAGAGAATACTTCACATTTGGCGTACCCAAAAAATAATAGACATGCAAAACAACCGAGCCCAAAAAATCGAATATTCAAATTCAACTAGTTTTTGGTCGTAAGAAAAAAAACAAAAAAAAGCAAAAAAAAATTATATTAGCTTGATTTTGATTTGATTTAAATACCAAAAAAACAAACCAAACGACATATGCAATTGATTAACATGGGTCATGGTTTCCATCGATAACTACAATATTAACATACATGTACGTCGTCATCATTAAGCTACTTTTTTTTTTTAACTTTATCAATATGCGTAACTAAAAACACAAAAATCAAAAAGCAGAAAACCAAAACACCAAAAGCGAAAGAAAACAAAAGTCATCGGTTGCAAATGTTAAATCACATGTTATATACACCACTTAACGAACAAAAAAATCACTATTAATTTTGTGCATGTAATGTACCCTTTTTCAAACTCAGAAACGCATTTTTTTGTTAGATTTTGGTTCTAGCCAAAAACCAAACCATGTCACCCCTAATAAATCACAATGTTCTCAGATCAAAAAGTAATGTCCACACTTAGAGACCATTTTTCACAACATGACAACCAAAGAATTTTTCACAATTGGCAAATAACATACAATACACATCACACGAAAAAAGGTTTTGGGTTATTTTAGTTAGGCAGATCCGAATTCTGAAAACCATTTTTCATGGCGTTCAATATCAGCTGCAGAAACACTAGGTTGGACTTTGGTAATGGCTTCTTCAAAATCACACATGGCAATTGGATCTTTTGCCATATCATCTTTAGACATGTTTTTAATCTCTTCACGAGTCTTTCCTGCTATTTTACGCCGCATTCCATTTAACGAAGCATCTCGGCATACATTTGTCAAATCATCACCACTATATCCCTCCGTTCGACGTGCCACGTCAGCAATGTCCACGTCAGCAGCTACCTGATAATGTCAATGATATACACAAAACATAGTAGTGGATTCAGTAGCCACTCTGCCAAAAACATGCATTTACAATAACCATGTTGATAAAATTTAACAAAAACAAATAATTTACTACGATTGATACAAAGAAGACATGACCCCATGTTTATTGTTTTAACTTTTTAATGAAAACTGTAAAGCTAATTATTTTAATTTTTAACATACACTTCTGTTCTGTCCGGTTTTTTTTTTTTTTTTGGTTTTTTGTGTTTTATTTTTACCATGTTGATAAAATTTACAAAAACTAATAATAAAAAATGACAACTTTTACACATGTTCATTTTTCGGTGTTTTGTGTGTTCTTTAACATAATCAATTAGACTTAAATATACAAAACATAATTGTACTTCAGTTTAGTTTGGCTTTTTTTTTTTTTCACTTTTTAGCTTGGTTTGGGTTTTTTTGCACACACAGAAATGACATTACCTCAACGGTTTTCAAATTAATCTTTATAAGCTCTTTTCTGCTCTCAAAATTTGGGAGAGGAATATATATACGCTTTTCCAAACGCCGCCTGAAACCCCCAGAAAGTAAAGAATTCTTATTGTAGAAGCAAAAGACAGGATAAGGGTAAAAAAGTAATTTTGTATATGATTAGCTTTAGACCTTAGTGCTTCATCTATATCCCATGGAAAATTTGTAGCAGCCAAAACCATCACTATTTTGCGACTACCATCTTCATTTGTGCCTGCGTTGTTTACTCCATCCACCTGAACTAGAAGTTCAGATTTAACCCTTCTAGAAGACTCATGTTCCCCTGAAGCCCTGAAAATATGAAAGAAATCATGATTTTGACCGATTTTAAATTAAAGGGAAAATAAAAAGTCTTACCCACGAGAAGTGCAAAGGGAATCAATCTCATCAATGAAAATTGTGCTTGGGGCATAAGCTCTGGCCAGGTCAAACAAGCATCTGACCATGCGCTCACTCTCTCCACGCCATTTTGAAGCCAAAGTAGCTGAAGAAACATTAAAAAATGTGGTCCCACATTCTGTTGCAACCGCTTTAGCCAGTAATGTTTTCCCAGTGCCAGGTGGACCAAACATAAGAACACCTTTCCATGGTCTCCTAATCCCCTAAAATTCCAAGTAACAATCAATGGAAATACCACACATAAGCACAAGGAAGGAATCTATGATTACATGTACGTACTCTAAAAGACATTCAAAGCAACTACTAGAGCTTCATCCAACAGTATCACATACCTGAAAGTAATCAGGCATCAATAAAGGTAGAACCACAGCTTCCTCTAGAAGTCTTTTTGCTTCGTTCAAACCTGCAACATCTTCAAATCTTACTCCAGGGGTGTTCTCTAAGACATCCCTTTCAAGCATTGCAGCCAAGTCATGATCAGGCCCCTCATACTGCCCTCGTTTTGATGTGTGCTCTTCACCATCTCCATTCTGATGATTGCAATATAATGTGCATAAGAGAGAGAGCAGTAACAAATATTACTGAAACCAACAATGTTAATTATTATGCAGTGAAACTTACCATGGAATCATCCTTTGAAGAATTTGGCTTCCCTGAGCTGCTACCTTTTTTCCCAGTAGTTGATGCACGAACTCCTGAGTTAACCCTACTAGAAGCACCAGCTTTTCCGCCACGAGCAGTGGCTCCACCTCTGGTAGTACTAGTAGAACCCCGAGCCCAAGCTCCATCTTGTGGTGATTTCCTTGAACCCCCAACTCCAACTTTTGCAGATCTTCTATTTGATGTGTCTCGACTGGGTGGTCTCCACACATCAGGATCATGATCATCCATCGGAGCACCAGAAGAAGTTGGGTACTCATCCAGTGGTTCAAACACAAATGATGATTTATTTGTAGATATAGGAGGTGAAGACGCCCTTCTACCCATTGAAGTCTCCTTGAAAGATCTCTTCTCAGAATCCAATTGTTTCACAACTTCTGTCTCCTCTGAAAGAGCTTTTTTTACGTTCATCCACTTTGATCGAACCAGAGGATCATCAAGGGAGCTCAAGTGCCTGAGACATGAACCAAAAACATCTTTTAATCACAACCGAATGATTAGTTTCCAATTAGGAAAGCAGTAGACAAAAATCTCGAGTATATAAATTACAGAAGATCAAGTACCTAATGTGGAAATCATAATTTCTATGAAAAACACTAATCATGTAATCTATCAAACAAAATGCATAAACTCATATTTCAACCACAAAGAAATGAAGTGAAAATATCTCGATTCGGTCAAGCAAATCCAGCAGTTCGTTCTATTTCAACTACAAACCTTCTGATTCTTCACATAGCTAATACCTACTA